TTTAGAGCTGGCTAAGTAAGTTTCCCTCAGTTTTTCATTTTATTCTAAAGCTTTGTAATGACTTGAAAAAAAAAAACTTTTTTTTTTTTTTTGTACCTGCGATCAAACTCCGTCCCGGCGCTTGAAAGGCAGCAAGGAAGCAGTGGAACCACTAAGCTAAGTCTCCAGCCCGAAAAATTTATCTTTTAAAAAATACATCAAAAACATAAATACATCCGTTAGCCCATTCCCACAGAATTTTGCCCTTATTTTGTCATAGTGCCTTTTCATGACATAGATTCGTTTTACCACTGGCTCCTCACGTGTCTGGTGACAGGAGCTTTCCTCATCAAGATATTTGTGGCCACACACGCTCAGCGGTTAAGCTGCACGGCCAAGAGGCCACAGCCCGAGCCAGGGTTCCTGCACAGTTCTGGGATTTATTTCCTCAGAATTAAGGCTCCAGAGTCCTGAAGATGCCTGCGCGCTGCCTTTCCACCGTTTAGGCCAGTCAGAGGGAAACCCCAGGCCTTCACTAGTTTCGTGCCCGTGCATGCACCCAAGCGCCTGCTGAAGCCGCTTTTAGTTTCGTTCTACATCTCCTCCCCTGCATCTCTCTGTTTCTCCCCGTATCTCTGGCATAAATAAAAAGATCGACCTCCTCCTCTGCAAAGCAGTTCTGCTGAGGGTCAGACTTCCTCAGGCCCCTCACCGACTCCCAGATAGTGCTCCTGGACCGGTCCCGGATGCCAGCTGCCCAGCCGGGCACTTCCCGCCGGCCGAGGACAGCTCGCAGAGCGGCGGGCAGCAGGCCCAAAGGCTTTCTGCCTGCCTAGCAGTAGAGGCATCTGGATGACACACCAGAGCGTCACGTTTGGCCCAAAGAGCGAGGACTAAACCCCGAGGCACGATTGAGTGCCTCTGCAGGCTCTGCCTTGGGATTCCTAATTACGGGAGCCAATGGATTTCATTTTCTGCTCAGGCAGTTAGAAATTGGGCTTCTGTCACTTGCAACCGAGACACTTGATTAACTACCTCCTGTCTGAAGCAAGCAATAATCAGCAATTCCCTCTTCCACCCCTTTCCACAGTGTTAGAATTATAATGTATTTGTTTACACGTCCATCTCTCCGATTAGATAAGCTCCGCACAGGATCATATATCACTTGCCCAATCTCCTGCGCGCCTCAATAAAAAGAGAGAGAGAGCAACATTTGCTGAATCTGTGAATGGGAAAATGCCAAGATGGTAGACGCCCCAGGGGCACAGATGTGGGGGAAGCCAGGGAGCACATTCAGGAAGGAAAGTGCAGTCAGAAATGGACTCCAAGGCACAATTTTAAGGTCTTGGATTTCACATGTCTGCCTCAGCCCCGTCTGAATTGGAATCTAACTAACATACTCGGATTCTTCAACCCCGGTAGCTTTAGGTTCACGTGGAAGCGGGGGGAAGGCTGTTGACTCTTCTACAGTTTCCCTTCCAAGGTGCTGCCAGGTTCCATGCTCTCTCTCTTGTCTGTTGATGCATTCAGTGTGCTGAGCCGGGCTCTGGGAAGACAGCTGTGAGTGAGACGGGAAATCCTACCCCCAGCCAACATGTATTTCAGAAAGGAAAGCAGATTCAAAACAAGCGATTAGAAATGCGAT